CTCATTGTTGTAGTTCAAGCTGCCTTGAACTCACTATGTAGCCCAGGTTGGCTTCAAACTCATGGCAATCCTGCTGCCTCAGCCTCCTGAGTGCTGGGATTGCAAGTATACACCACCAGGCCAAGCTGTTTAGCATATGTTTTATACACATGTATTACATGTGGCAAAACACACATATACACATACACATGACACAAATATTTACTGTAATATCTTTTTTAAATGATGGACAGTCATCTATATTAAAGAACACAGATCTGTATAATTATTTAATGGTCATGAAGCTATTTCATTAGGATCACATTGAACAGTGGAATTTCAAGATTAAGGTGTATACAGATATTTTTTCAGTATTGTAGATTGAATTGAGCTACAGTGGACCCTTGAGTAATGAGCTCAACTTATTCCCAAGGGCTGGCTATCACTCAAGTTGTCAATTAAAGGTGCAGGCTCCTCTACACAGGCCTCAACATCTCTCTCCTGTGTACAGGCAGATCTCAGTTTCCTTAGACATTGACCCAGGATTTTGCAATTAACTCCATACAGGAAAAGATGCTGTAATGTTCCTCCCAGAACTGTTTAAGGATTAAATCTGTATCTGAGACCATCTGGAAGCACAAGCAGCTGGCATTTAGGTCATAACTCAGGACTTTCGTCATATGTTGAAACTAAAATTCCAGTTACAACCCAAGTTTTTCATATGTCAGGCCAGTCATAACTTGAGGGTCCACAGTATATCCTCAGACTTCCTTTATTTTTAATTTTAAGGTAGGATCTCCCTAAGTCACTATGTTGCTCAGGCTGAGCTTCAACTTGTGATTCTCCTGCCTCAGACTCCCAAAGTGCTGGGAGCATAGGCGTACACTACCACACCTGAGTATGTAACACAGATTTTTAAGGCTTATTGGTACACACAGTAATATCCCTTGGGGCCAGAACCCTCCACAGATACAAAAATCTGCAGATACTCAAGTCTCCTATAAAACATGATGTAGCATTTGCATATAACCTACACATAGCCTCCTGTATAGTTTAAAAATCTCTTAATTACTTATAATATTAAATACAATGTAAACAGTATGTAAATAATTGTCATAATTTATTGCTTAGGGAACAGTGACAACAAAAAACACCTGTACATGTTCAGATGAGAGTTGATTTTTTTCAAGTATCTCAAATACTTGTTACAATACTCTGTCTTAATGGTATCTGGAAAATGCAGTGGCATCTACCTTTCTAACGAGTTTCCCTGGTACTCAGTGGCTAGTCCACTAGCTAGGTGCCCGTCAATGAACTTCTGTCCTGTCCAGTGGGCCACAGCTACTTCCTCTCCCATGACTTTCAGGCTTCGTTAGAAGTTGGGGACTCTTCTCAGCTTGCTCCTTCCTTGGGTGCTCTCACAGCCTTAGAGGTAGGAGAACTTTCTCCCTATACTTGCTATTCCTGTATGTTTTAGGCTTCTTTTATTTTTTAGGTCTTCTTAAAGAAGATTTTAGCAATCATCCTACATTTTTAGTTAATAATTCTATATACTAAATTTCCTTGTTGAAATTACCAATGTGGTTTCAGTACCCTAAATAGGCACTGAAGAATACACTAATATACAGAAATGTGATCAAGTTGTGTGTACTGACCGTGTGCTTGACACCTTGTAGAATTCGTTTATTAATTCAAGGAGCTTGAGTTTACACACCTATAATATTCAAATAATGGATCTTAACAAAAAAAGGGGATACAGATGAATGTCCATTTTGTATCTGTGTATTCAAAGTGGTTAGGATAGATATATAGTTACATTCTCTTAGTGAACAGAAGGATTTGTTCTAATGGTGTTTGTAAATAGGATCTCAAGTCCGCATCTTGTACAGCAATTAACCACTAAGAAGAATGTATGCAGCGTGTTAATTATTGAAACTGTCCTAGAGATTTGATTTGAAACTGTCTCATTGCTATTTGTTGATCAATAAAATTATGAAAACAAAATTTCTAGGAGCTTTTCTGTCGATCACTTTGGATTTTCTGTATATTCACTCATGGTGTCTACACAGTGATACTTTTTTCTTGTATTTTTTATGAACATTATTGCATTGACTAGCATCCCTAGTAACAGTGCTGAACAGATGTTTTGACAGTGGGTACATCTGCATTAGTTTCCTATTGCTTCTGTCACCAATTAGCACAGGCTTAGCAACCTACAGAACAAAAATATATTCTCTTACAATTCTGAAGATCAGAAATCTAAACTCATTCTCACTGGGCACAAGTCAAGTTTTAACAAAGATGGCTCCTTCTAGAGGTTCTGACAGAAGTCTATTTCCTTGTTTCGTTCTAGCTTCAGGTTGCCTGTTCCCTTGGTGTGGGGCCTCTTCTTCCATCTTCAAAAGGTGTCAGTATCTGCTGCTGTAGTCACATCATCTTCCTCTCTGTTTCCTACATCCCTCTTAAAGGGACCACTGTGATTGTATCAGGCCCACTGGACAAGGCAGAAGACTCTGCCCTGGCCAAGATCCTTAGGTTAATCAAATTTGAAAAGTCTCCTTTGCCATATAAGGAAATAACCATAGATATTGCCTATTAGGATGTGGACATGTCAGGGGCAGGATATTATTCAGTCTACAACATCATCTTTTCATTTTCTAATCTTTTGCCATTAAATATGTTATTTGTTACAGGGCTTTTGTAGTTAAGAGATTTTATGAGATTAAGAAAGTACTTTTTCTTAGTTTTCTAAAATCTTTTCTTCCTCCTTTCCTCCTTCATTCCTTCTTTTCTTGCTTCTTTCCTTCCTTTCTTCTTTTCTTCATGCTAGGCAAGTGTTTTATCACTAAACCACACCTCCCCAGCCCTTCTAAGTGTTTTCTAAACATGAAAACAGGGTGAAATACATCAAATAATTGTTCTCTTACTTTGAGAGAATTATATGACTTCTTTAATTTTGTTAAAATGGTGAATTATACCAATTGATTTTTGAATATACCTATAATACCTAGCATTTCTAGAAAATGCCAAACCTCATTGTGCTACATTAAACTTTGGCTAATGTTTCATTTAGGACTGTTTTCAGTGAAATTTATCAGTGAAATTAGTCCTTAGCTTTCCTTTTTCATAATATTCTTGTTAGGTTTTGATATTAAAGTTATGCTGCTTTCCCAAAATAATCAGGAAATTGTTCTATTTCTATTCTCTGGAAGAGTTTGGGTAAGACTTGTTTTGATTCTGAAACGTATATTGTAAAGGTTAATATCTGAGAACAGAACTTTCTTCATGGAAAAATTTAAATTTCTATGTTATTTTTAACTTTTTTTAGACAGTATCATTTTATAATTCAGGATGGCCTTGAATTAACTATGTAGCCCAGGTTGGCCTTAAACTCACAGTGATCCTCCTGCCTCAGCCCCCTTAGTGCAGGTATTATAGGCATGCACCATGTCTGGCAAATTTTCAGGTGCAATTTTTTTCTTTCTTTTCCCCTAATCTCAAAACGTAACTATGTAGCCCAGGCTGGACTTAAACTCACGATGACCTTTCTGCCTCAGCTATCTGAGCAATTTCCTTCATAGTCAAAGAACTGCTCAAGTTTTCCATTTATAATTCTGTCAGTTTTAGTCTGCATGCGTTTGAGTTATAGATATATGTATTTTAGGAATGTATCCATTTGATCCAAACTTTGAATAATTAGCATAAAAATTTTCATAATACGTTTCATGATCTTTCAATGCTGACAAGATATGTAGTAGTAGCCCCTTCAATTTTGACACTGGTTATTTGTGCTTATGCATATGTGCTCTGACTCGTTTGTTCCTTTCAGAAAACTTTTTTTTTTTACTTTGCTGATCATAGGTTCATCTTTTAAAATGCATAAATTTAAGGTTCAGCAATTCCTCCTGAATTTGTCTTTCCTAAAATCTAAGCATTATAGAGGGCCAGCCAAATAGCTCAGCAGATTAAAGTGCCAGTAATCAGGCACAGGGGCCGGGAGTTCGATCCCCAGGCCTGCCATGCTGGCCCTGCCCACTGGGGCATGCCGAGAAGGCAATTGAGACTGGGCATGGTGACGTGCTCCTATAATCCCAGCCCTTGGGAGGCTGTAAACAGGCAGATCACTACAAGTCCGATCTAGTAGTGAGACCCTGAACACCCTGTAGACCTTTCCATAAAATACAAAAAAAAAAAGATCTAAGCATTATATTTTCTTTCTCACTCCATTTCAGCACTTCTGTGGAAGTGCATTTCTTAATTCTAAACCAAAGGAAGATTTTATGGCTAGACTTTGTTATTGAGTCATAGCCCCAATCGCTATCTCAAGCAATTGATTTTTTATTTAATGTTTCCAATTCCTCACAATCTGTTGAGATTTGCTTTCTGTTCTACTCTATGGTCCAATTTTATAAATGTTCCATTTTGCTCAACAAGAATATATATTCTAAACTGCTGATCTCAATCTCTGAATATACTAGTGGCCATCTTCCTTCAAAGATGGATTTGCCTGCTGAACATAACTGGTTTAGGACTATAGGCATAACACAAAAGCCCCAGATTCAGCTTTTCCATCTTTCTATATACAATTGAGTTTCAAGACTGATCGCTATACCAACATTAGCACTTGCCCCAAGGCAGTCTAGCCTTTTGTGATCCAAGTTCCCACATGTGTTTCAAATCACTTTTCATAAGGATTTGTGATCCAGCCAGGAGATTTACCATACTATGAGGCTCATAAATGTATTAAAATTCTGTGTCCTCCAGAATCTAGTTGGTTCTTAACATACTACCAGAATAGAAGTCCAATTCAAGGTTGTTGTTGGTCTTCTAATTGAAAGAACCTTACTGAAAAGGACATTTATGCCTACTTTTGAGTGAATAATGGATTTTTAATTTTCTTTTCTTTTTTTCATGGTACTAGGCTACATCCCCAGCCCTCTTTATACTGTTAAATTTTGAGACAGGTTCTTGCTAAGAGCACTAAATTTCCCGGGTTGGTTTTGAACTTGCAATACTCCTGCTTCAATATCCCAGTGTGTTGGGATTACAGGCGTGGGCCAATATGCTCAGGTCAACAGTTTTCTTCCTGTCATTTCTTCTTAGCAAAAGTGAAGAATTGAAATCTGAATGAAGCAAAGAAAATGATCTGTATGAAACCCAATATGTTAAAAAGTGGCAAACATCATATAGTTTGATCACCTGATTTACTGTGGTCTCGAACTTGGAAAGCATGAGTGAGGTCTGTTTTTCGTGCAATAATTCTCTCTTTTAATATCCTGATGGCACTGCTTTCCATAACATTCACCCTATGGTACAAAACAATGGTTAGGTAAAAGTTACATAATTATCCTGTCTGTTTTATTTTAATGTGCTATCTTACTGTTTACCAGTTTCCACTTTAAGTGAATTGTATACATTTCCATATAAGATGTCACTGGATGGTAAATGCATGTGTGTGTGCACATGCTTGTGTATGTGTATGCACTGGGTTGTGAAATTTTAAAAGGACTCTAGATAGTGTTTCCTTTTTGGATATCAAATATTTGCAAGAACAATTATTTGAAAAAGAAGGAAAATACAAAGGGATGTGCTATATGAGATACTGAAATTTAGCATTCTGTTACTGAAACAAAACAATAGTTATTAACAGAAGAGAAGGATCACCTGTATGTGCAGTGTAAAACAGTCAAAGTAGCTGGTGAAGAGTGTGATTGGGTAGATATTTGTCAAAGGACAAAAACATTCAGGTAGACAGGAAGAAGAAGTTCAAGAGACAATATTGTATATCATGGTGACTCCAGCCAATAATACTATAATGCACACTTGCAAATTGTTTTGAGAATAGGTTTAAGTGTTCCCACCACAAAAATAAGTATTGAGAAAATGCATATGTAAAATGGCTTGATTTACCCATTGTTCAGTGTATACAACTATGAAAACATGACTTGTACTATAAATAAAATCTTTCCTAAAAGGAAAAAAAAAAAAAACAGAAGAGAAGGAGCTGGGGAAATGGCTCAGTGGAATAAGCGCATCCTTGGCAAGCGTAAGGGTCTGAGTTCAATCCCCGGTTCCACGAAAAAAAAGAAAAAATGTTTAAAAAAATAAACCAGAAGAGAAGACATATATATCACTAGAACATAAAAAAAATTTCATAAATATTTTCAACTACATATGGGTCTAACATATATATGATAACAGAAGTATGGTAGAGTCTACTCTCACAGGAGATGAGCCTCTTCCTCCCGTGGTCTCCTCTCCCAAGGAGAGGAGGCTGCAGCCCAGCAGAATTTTCACTGGCACACACCAGGGCAAGTGATCAAAACTGGGAGAAGTCCCCAACCCCTCATCTCAGACTCCCAGAGAAGAAATAAGTGGTTGCTGCATACGTTGGGAGTTTTTAGTACTAGATCCTCAGCACACCTGAGTCAGTGGTAGGAGCCTTAAGTTTACTCCACTCCAACTGGGACATTCATCAAGCATGCAGCACTAATACTGCACTGGCCTGAGTTCATACCCAGCACTTTGGGCTCCCTGGAGTCTACACCCAGCTCTCACTGTCCTGCTCCAGTCCTGGATCTGCCAGAGACTCTGACACCCAGCACCTGTCCTGGACAGCCTGCGTCTCCATGGGGGAGCTCCAGTCCTGTGTGAGTCTCTGCCTGCTACATTTGGACCGTGGCAGTACGCATTCAACACCAGCAGGAGCCGAGGACCAGACCATATCACAGGATCCCACCCTGCCCTGCAACAAATGGCCTTGGAGGACAGAGACTGCCAAGGGAAGAGGGGCACAGAAGGCTGAGCAAAGACCAGGAGAAGCCAACTATGCATGGGGGTGGGAACAGCCCTGTCTCTGTCTGAAAACAGCACAGCAACCAGCAGGGAGACACCACCAGAAGAAGGGTATGGAGTAGTAGGTGACTGAGGGACATTCAGAAAGTACTGGCTAAAGACTCTGGGTCTTTCTTAATTATATGCAAAAAATCAGAAATTATCCCATGCATATAATCTGACCACAGTGCAATGAAACTGGAAATTAATGACAAAAGAAACCCAAAAATCCCCATAAACAGATGGAAATTAAATAACACCCTACTCAGCAACCAATGGGTTACAGATGAAATTAAATAATATCTACAATCCAATGAAAATTCAAGCATAACTTTCCAGAATTTGTGCGATGCAATGAATGCAGCATTAGAGGGAAATTTATAGCGGTGAACTCACACATTAGGAAAACAGAATGAGAAGAAATAAATACCATAATGCTGCACCTCATGCAGCTAGAAAAAGAAGAGAAAACCAAGCCTAAAGGCAAAAAACAGAAGGAAATCATAAAGATTAGAGCAGAAATTAAGGAAATTGAGACAACAAATACAAAGAATTAATGAATCAGGGCCGGGGAAATGGCTCAGTAGAATAAGAGCTTCCCTGGCAAGCTCAAGGACATGAGTTGAATCCCTGGTTCCGAAAAAAAAAAAATTGATGAATCAAAGAGCTGGTTCTTTCAAAGATTAAATAAAACTGATAAACCCCTAGCTAATCTCATAAAAGAGAGGAAAGAAAAAATTCAAATACAAGTGATAAGGAATAAAAAGGGCAAACTTACTATAGACCCGCTGGAAATTCAGAAGATAATAGCTACTTTGAAAATCTTTACTCTCACAGAATCAAAGGCACAGAGAAAATAGACAGATTCCTAGATAGGTACAAATTACCAAAACTGAAGCAAGACAATATGAAAACTCTGAAAAACCCAACATCAGCCAATGAAATTGAAAATGTACTAAAAACCTTACTAGCAAAGAAAACTTCAGGTTCTGATGGATTCACAGCTGAAATCTACAAGAAATTTACAGAAGATATAATCCCAATACTCCTCAAAGTCTTCAAAGAAATCAAAAAGGAAGCAATACTCCCAAAATCTTTCCTGGAAGCAAATATTATACTGATACCAAAACCAGGGAAAGACACAACTAAGAAAGGGAACTACAGGCCGATCTCTCTCATGAACATAGATGCCAAAATCCTCAAGAAAATCCTAGCAAATAGAATACAGCAAATCATCAAGATTATGCACCATGACAGGTAGGATTCCTTCAACTTAAGTGGTAAAATTCAGTCATATATCCAATCTTACACTAATCTAGCAACAGATTTGAAGATAAAAATAGATAATATAGCAACCATTGGTAATCAGCTATTCTTGTTTTGAAAATCTGTAATATATGTATCATTGTATGTTACCCTGTTTCTGTCCTTCTTATTTTTGTTCTTCATTTTGCTTTTACTCTTGAAAATAAAATTATTTTTAAAAGATATCCATGGGAAAGTTTCCTGCTATCCTGCGCCAGTGGGACCTGCCAGTCCCAGCCCAGGTGCAGCGTGAGTGAGACCCTCTTTCAACCTCTTGGGACTACCCCACAACTCCACAGCACCCCCCACCATGCCTAACAAGTGAGAATTTCTGCCACGTTCTGGGGACCCCCAGATCCAGCCCTAACCCAAGCCCGGTGAGTGTGTGGGAAAGCTTCCAGCTCCCTGTAGCAGCGGGAACTGCTGGTCCCAGCCCAGGTGCGGCTTGGGTGAGACCCTCTTCCACCACCTGGGGACACCCGACCACTCCGCAGCACACGCCAACCATGCCCTCCAAGTGAGAATTTCTGCCGCATTCTGGGGACCCCCAAATCCAGCCCTAAAGCAGGCCCAGTGAGTGTGTGAGAGAGCTTCCTCTCCCCCCTACTTCACCTTATACCCTACAGACTCAGCTCAGGTCTAGGGTAAAACCCTTCAGCTGCAATTCCTGCAGACAGAGTAGGGGACAAAGCAACCCAGCTAGTCCAGGAGCAAAACATCTTGCCAGAGCGGCACAACAGGATGACTCCTAAGGACAGCAGCAGAAAGGCGCTGAGCACAGCAACCAAACCCAAGGCAGGCACAACAGGATAAATCCAAACTTTGTAGATCTTCACCTGAATTTTAGTAGGTACAAAGGTTATAACTGCACCAAAGCTCTACGAAAAAGGTCAGAAGACAGTGCTACACAAAATGACAATGAGAAGGAGTAAAATGCCATCTCAGAACCCAACCCTACCCATGACAACTGCAGAGGACACTAACACAGAACAAATTGGGAACCACACAGCTGAAATCAATGAATCAACAGCTTCTGAAATAAAGAAACAACTGCAGAAAGGTATAGAGGAACTCAGAATGGAAATGAAAAGAGAAATCCCTGAATTAATAGCATCTGCAGTAAAGAACCAAATGCAGAAACATATGGAAGAAACCCAATGGCCACCCAGAACAAGTGCAGAGGACACTAGCTCAGCTCAAATGTATGAATTAATAGCGTCGAAAGTAAATGAGCAACAGCAGAATGTTATAGAGGAACTCAGAGGGGAATTCTTCTCTGAAATAAAAAAAGAATTCTCTGAACTCTCAGCATCTGAAGTAAAGAATCAACTACAGAAACAAAGAGAAGAAATCCAATCTGAAGAAAACACTGAAGTAAAAGAATTAATAACTGCTTCTAAAGAAGACATTGATAAAAAAATAGAAGAGATTAGAAAAATGATGGATTCTTTGAATGAGCAATATAGGAAAAAAATAGATCACATGAAGCAGCATCCAGGAGATATAGAGGAACTTAAAATCTCAGTCACAAGCTTGCAAAACCGTTTGAGTGAAAGTGAAGACAGATCTCAAAGACACTGGTGCAGCTAGTGAAAAGGTAAGAAA